GTTGTCCTGACGTTTCGGATTCCGTCGGGAATCCTTAGTCACAGGTAATCGCAAAACAAGTCTGACGGAATCCGAAACGTCAGGACAATAAAACTCTTGACCCCTTATCTGCGCATGTCTCAAACTTGTTTACGATAACCTATGACTAAGAATTCCCGACGGAATCCGAAACGTCAGGACAGTAAAAGTCTTGTTCCAGTGATCGCTTCTTCTCCTTCATAACAGGGAGTTTCGTGTAAAATCATTGGATTTCATGAGTTAGCCCAGCCACTGTATTTCTGGCTGCCTGTTGGCTGTTTGTAGATATTATCTGGTAACGCCGCTGTAGCTGATGGGTTTGGTCTCGAATAAACACATAAACTTTCGGTATCAGTCTATAAAGCCTCATCATTGTTGCTCTACTCCAAATGGGCAACCAATTTATAAGTTCTAAAAGAGGAAGTAGCCAAAATCCGCTTACATTTACGAAAATATGTGTGGCCGCGCTTTCGAAAAACAATGACTTTTTTAACATGTACAGTAAAATAATCTAGTTTACGTCCTATGTAGGAAAGAAGACAACGCTTATGCCTTCTGAAATCCAGTCTTTAAATGACTGAAATTAAATATTACGCGTTTTTTTTAAAAGAAAAGCAAGGCGATCGCTAAAGTGTGAGTCTGATGAACCTTTGCGGAAGTCATACTTCAACACGGTAAGGATAACTCATTTAGTCCTATATCATTTATGAGCAGACGAGCAGCAATCACCAGAAAGAAAAAAATGATTGGGCACGAAAAATAAAGTCAATACACTTCGTGAGAAAGAAAAGTTTACAGTTCTAATAGACCCAGCGTTTAAAAAAGTAGAGAAACATCCGCGGTTTAAGGTAAGTGAAATACTAGTATGAGATAAAATTGTCACAAACTCACAGCCAAGCCCTCACAGAGCTGGAATATGAACAACATGGGAAGGATCTCTGTGGCTTTGGCAGCAACCTCCCTGAAAAGCAAAGATAGGAAAAGGGTGATTGCTCGAAAGAAAATAACTGCGCACGGAGGTTAATTGTCAAAATTAGTCATAACTACCGCGGATATATAGACAGAAAAGGAAGTGTAGCCTGATATTCCCTGTTGCATGACAGTTCGAACGTCGTTTTCGACGAGGTCTACTGTGTGCTGCACGGCAAAGTAATAGAGGAACATTAACTTGTGCTGGATTATACTGAGAGTAGACTTGTGGTGTATCTATCTCAGTCGCATGCCCACTCTCTTCACCTGGACCCCGTGTCAAGACAAAGCTAAGAAGGCCGGCGGCAGGAGATTGCGCAGGTGGAGGGCACGACCGAAGACGCCCCTAAGCCCGTCAACCAACTTGACTCGGAGCTCAGCTCAGTTGAAGCGCCAAAAAGGCCACATTAAGAAGGCGCCATTGCAGTCCGCCGGTCAGCCACTCCACACAAGCACACACTGGATTGACCGCGCGGTCCATATTATCCCGCTGGTTGGAAACCTTCCGAGTCACGGCCTTTAGAGCACTGTGATAAATGCAAGCACGTCAGATTGAGCCCCAAGGCACAATAGAACGGAGGTGTCACGTAACGTGGTAGGTCAGCACGCCACTATCAGGATTAAAGTTACGTCCGACTACAAAGGCTGCACAACGACGGGCAAACATTGTAAGCAATACAGCGGTTTTCAAAAAGGTCTAATGCGAAGCAAGTCGTCTATTATTTCAATGCTATAAAGCAAACATTTGCTGCAACTATAATATTTAAATGGGGAAATCAAAACTATAAACTAGAAACGCAGCTGTACGGCATGTTTCAAGACCAATAACTGGTCGCCAAGTTCGGTGTACTGAAGTAGTTTGTCGCAGACATAGAGTTCCGTAAGCGGTGTCGTTACCAAATAGCCAGAATAATCTATACTCACTATAGCAGGAGGAAAGCGGAACTACATGATAGTACTGAGACTCGATTCAGGCGGGAAAATGTAAAGCTCAGCATTTCAGCTAGAGTAAGCTCGATTCAAATTCTCCAATAACGCAATATGAAGTGAGTCACGATCTTAACTGAAGAGGTTTGCTTTAAAGCTATGTTTCGCAAGATTACCGTTTCACATGACGAGCACGCTGCCGGAAGGATTGAAACTCGTTAACCTAGGTTTCATTTTACCGCAATCGGACGTTACTCGAAGTCCATTTGTAAGACGGCAAATTACATTTATGTTTGGAAATTTTTTCTGCTATGATTAAATGTAAGACTCAAAACGAAACCGAATTCACCAGGTAAAGAAAAGGTGAAAATGACATAAATAGTACTTACACGTCTGAGGTAAATATAAAGGGAATGCTGTGCCGCAACATTACCACAGGGGCAGCCGTAAGAAAGGTTATGATAACTACAAGGGAAAAAAAGATTAATTAGTAGTCACTGGAAAGTGCGAGCTTGTTAATCGATAAGAGAATACTAAACCCACCGCGAATCACCGCCACTTTTGAAGGCGGTAAACGCTGACTACCCCACTGCGACCACTCAGTATACGAGGTGGATGGTAGCAAAAAATTGCAACAGGATAAGAGACTCCACGTAAATGTGCTAGAGGCAGATGTACATAGAGAGGCAAGCTGGCGTGCTTAAAACTTTAAAAAAACCAGTCCCTCTGTGGGATTTCTCCTCTAGATGACCGTGACCGCGAAAATATCAGTCGATAGTGAATGCGCCTGACGTCATCGAACCAGAGGAGTGTGGACTAACGCCATCGAATTATCGCCCTAAGTCCTAATGAAACAAGTTCAACAGTACGGTCAGGATGGATGCACTCACGTGTGATGAGCGATAGAAATTGCAGGCGATCTATAACTGCGAGGGCAGGAGTAGTACCCACGCTCTATTAACTTTGTATCGCCTCTCGGGATTAATTAACATAAACGGCAAGCGATAATTCAGGGCTTATGTACAGGGCCTCACCTTAATGGGGAGGGGGCGAGGGTTGCAGTACCAACTGTGTAAATTTTAAATGCCGCATAGTGGCATAGTCGTTAAAGCTACATAAAATGTAATGTCTCGAAATAATCCGTTAATTTTAGCTGTTGAATCTCCCTCAGAAATTAATTTATAATTCGAAACAGATCAGTATATCCAAGGGTCTACACTGCGGGGCAGCCACCTAATATTTACAGTCTACTATTAGACGTACAGTAGTATAACTTAGGTAATTATTTACACCACTGGCAGCATAGGTAGTGGGTAAAAGCCCAGACACGTGTTTCGCCGATATTCTGCCGCTGCTTGACACAGCTGCGAGGGAATCGGTTCATCTGTTGGTCCCCGAGCATTTTCCGCATGCTTTTTGGTTGATATTCTAATTTTTAGACCGAAGCTTTTGAGTTTCCTCAGAAATTAATTTCCAACTTGGGGTGGATCAGTATTTAGAGCATTGAATATACTAACTTTAAAGCTGAATTGAAGTATTTGAATACAAATAAGTGCGAAGAATGAATGATTCAATTGGTCAAGCAAAACAGTCGACATTTACACTAAATGCGGAAGGAATAATGCACTCGTTTTAACCAACTTTAATAAGACCAGATCGAGTTAGGCAAAACATATGTAATCATCAGCTTAGTCTAGAACTTGTAGTAGCAACCCCTCGCCCCCCCCCCAAATGGGCTTAAATAAAGTAAACTACTACAGAGGGCTGTCCCCTTAAAACGCGAGACGACATAAGAACAGACTTTAAATTCCGAAAACCGGCTCAGAGTTCTGTGACAAACTTTTATGCTTTATTTCTAAAATACCTATCCTATGGTAGGGTCATGAAAGGTACCAGAAAACATGCTTTAACTCAGAAACAGGCTTAAGTTTAAAGGGATGCAAACATTTTCAGTTAAAGGTCGCACGCAGATTTGAGGGCAAGGTGCATTAGCAATAGTGGGACTGCGTGCTGCGAGGACTTCGGCAAGTGACCCTAAAAAACACGTGTTTCTTATTGTTATGCAGGTAGCGAGAGTTCGCCAATGGGCTGATCAGCGACAGAACATGCGGGAACATACTAGAAAAACACTGAGAGCTTCCACGCATTGACGGTGAAAAAAAATGTCGGAAAAAAATCAGTACCAATAGCCGTCAGCGCAGTAAAATAAGTGAACTTTGCTGCGCTAGGATTGAAAGCACCAAGACCTTGTCCCACGCGAACATTGACTGCGGTGGAAATTCCAAGAGGTATCTGAAAGAAAAAAAGAGGAGGAAATAGGAAATAAAGTCAACTGAACCGACCTTGCCGATACAAGCGGCAATGCGTGTCCCAGGAAGTAAGTGAGAAGACATGGACGCGATTGACGGAACAGGGACTTTATTCGCCGTATCGGGTGCCGTTCTGAGGATGAATTCGAGAACGAATTCGAAACGTCAGACGGATAAACGTTTTGTTTATGCAATTGCGTCTAATTCTTCTGAACCGTCCTTACTTATATGGAGAGAAGTTGTATACTGGTAAAATAATCCTCCCCCGTACTACAGATGGTCATGGGCTAAATTGCAGGAGAGTTCCTATTCCCGTCTCCTAGTGTTAGACCGCAAACCTGACTCCTATGAAATTTAGCGCAAGGTCGCCTGTACCACTGAGGGATGTACTCGTAACTGTACCTTACCTGGAGAGATAGACGAAAGAAATAAAGTGGGAAATAATGGCATGAGAACAAGAAATCGCGCCAACTAAAGCAATACAGTGGTCAAGGCAAAATGACGAAGTGTATGCGGCGAGTGAGAAAGTTCGCATGCCAGCACCAATTTTTTCAAACTAAGCGCACAATAAAGTTGACCCACCGCAGCAATTGTGACATCTTCAGCTTGGCAATAACTCGAACACGATGTTTTGGCAGAAGTTGGCTAGGCCAACAGAGTTGTGCGGAGACAGCTTTTGTTATCTACTAGAGCTGACAGGCTCAAGTTTAAATTAAGCTAATCTTTGTCATATTTTTGTTACTAAGTCGACTACCTAACAACTGAGGTGTCTTCCCGGAAAATTTAATTGACGTACCTTTAAATTTTTGTTGGTATCCACTTATTTCCTATCACCTTGTTACCAATAGGGAGTTCAGAGGCGTTCGCCTATCTTTCCCTCAATAAACTGATACTGAGTTAAAGCATGAATTATGAAGCGTTAAACTATGAAGAGGTTTTTGGCAGGCCTGGAAAACAAAAAGGGTTAACGAATTGAGGCAAATGTTCGCATCCCAGGTACATGTGTAGATAGAGAAGTAGAAGGCGTTGCGATCACCGGTTGATACAAAAGATCTAAAAGAAGCCACGGGAAGTAATTCAGATAGGAACATCGCTTAAAAAATATGTGACTAATGACAGGACGGGAATTATTCAATGTGTACGCAGATAAAGCTTTCAGTTTATGGGAAACAAAGAAGAGCGCTAATTCACCCAAGTTTATCCTTACGTTAAATAGTGAACTTGCACAACAACATTAATAAATTCCTCGTGCTTATTTATCAGAAACTTCTAAAGTCAACCTGAATCTAGACGCTTAGTTGCGCAAAGCAAAGACAACTTTTAGTCAATTGAAAATGACTCAGTAGGACAAGAGCTTCCGGCGCCTACTATTTATGTAGATAGAACTGTTGTTTGCAGAAGATGCATATTATTTCCGGCTGAACAATTTTGGAATTCCCCACATCTCTTT